GAAAGTTGGGTTTCGGTGAAGAAAATTCAAAATAATGAGTTTTTCAAAAACATCTAAAATGGATGGAGATTAAAATATGATGTCGAATCTTAATTTTTATTGCCGTTTTAACATTCCAAAACTAATCTTTTGTAATTCTTCATGTAAAACTGTGTATAAAATACTGAATTAGTCATTTTTGTTGTTTAAAATAAGCCATGTGCTCTCAAAACATGATTAGAATCCTCAAAAGGCTTTCTGTGCACATTACAAACCTATCAAGAACTTTCGTATGGATGATGACAAAGTTATTCTTAGTGGATTACAATTAGTATACCGATGGGAAAAAGTTACGTATCTGTTTAAAAAAATAATGATCTATTGCTTGTAAAATCAAGTTTCTTGATATCAGTGGTAAAATAATTAAAAATGAGCTCATACTTGAACATTTTGATCATCAAAATTTTGTTATCAAATAAAATGCACGTGATATTCAAAATCAGCATAAAAAGTTGAATTGAATAATATGCATTTTATTACAAAACATTTTTCATCGAAATTCGATCTGTACTACATACAGTCCGATGAATTAAAACTCGAAGTAAAACGTCTCAATTCTTTTTCGGTATCTGCTGATACAAAAATAAGTTTTGAGTCAAACTTTTAGTAATATAGTAAAATAGTTACTATATTACGATGGGCCAAAAGTCTAAGTCAAAACTTGTTTTTTTTTCTCAATGGATACCGGAAAAAAATGAAACGCTTTATGTGGAGTTTTAATTCATCAGACAGTAGTAGAGATCGAATTTCGATGGCACATATTTTGTAATAAAATCTATATTATTCGATTCAGTTTTTATGCTGATTTTGAATATCATATGTATTGTATTTGATAACAAAATTTTGATAATCAAAATGTCCAAACATGAGCTCATTTTTAATTATTGAGTGTAACAAAATTTTTGCGATATTTCCTGCTTCGCATATATCTCTGTTCAGGAGTACCCAAACAGACAAACATTTTCAAAAACGCGTTTAAACGCACAAAAAAGGGCTTAAAATCCATAAAACGTGGACGTGTTTGGCTCACAATCGCGGTTCCCGACTGTCAGCGAAAAACGACTACTTTTTGCCCTTTTTGTGCATTTAAACGCGTTTTCAGCAAAAAAACGGTGATAAACTCGTATAAACGCATAAAAAGAACATAAAAAGTTGTTATCTTCTTCATACTCATGAATCACAATCATAATTACAATCACAGTTCACGAAAAGGAAAAAGATAACTACTTTTTATGTTCTTTTTATGCGTTTATACGAGGTTACAAGCGTGTTTTTGCTGAAAACGTGTTTAAACGCACAAAAAGGACAAAAAGTGGTCGTTTTTTGCTAACAGTCGGGAACCGCGATTGTGAGCCAAACACGTCCGCTTTTTATGGATTTTAAGCCCTTTTTTGTGCGTTTAAACGCGTTTTTGAAAATGTTTATCTGCTTAGGTATGACAAACATGTTGATCTTTTTCTTCAAAACATGCGCCGTCGAATTCTCTACGAACTTCCATTCGCCTTAACTTAAAACGATAGAAGTGAACATCTTAATAGGTCGCATGATGTAATTATATGAATTGAGCCTACTTCCCGCACATTTTTTAGTAATTTATTCTTTTCGTGAAAGTGAATGTTTAGTTCTGAGATGATGATTTACTGCTAGACAGCTCTTGAAATCCTTTGTCGATTATTTATATATATGAAGCTTTAAAAAGTTCTTTCTTTCAGTTAGACGCATGGTCATATTTTGAAAATAACGTGAGTTTCATGTTTGGTTACACCTTTTCAAATAAAGCATTCTAGAAATGTCACTTATGACCAACACATTTCTATATTTGCAGTATTTTGTCAAAAATTGACTTCTTTTTCTATGGGAAGCTCTAATAACGCATGGGAAAAGAACTCAGCTGGAAGAAGAATCCGAATAGTGTCAACAAGATCGTTTTAGTCGTAGCAGATCAGACAAATCAGAGTTTTTAGACAAATATGGATTGTGATCAAACACTTACCAATAATTCTAAAAGAGCATTTAATATACACTCAAATTACAAATAGACAAATCTCTTTCGTGCCTATTTATAACTTCGAAAGATCGTTGGAACAACAAAAAATAATGTGTGAAAAATAAGCTCAATTCACATAATTACATGATGCGACCTATAAAAATGTTCACTGCTGTTGTTCTACGTTTTGTTATACTCCTGAACAATAATATATGCAAAACAAAAAATATCGCAAATTTTTTGTCACACCCAGTAATAAGTTCATTTGACTACTACATGTCTTGTGAAAGTGAAATAAAAAAGAATTGTTTTATAAATTTCGGACTATTTTCAGTTTCTTTTTTTGTATTTTTTGAATATATTAGGTTGGACAGACACAGAAAATATATGTATATTTGTAATTGACATCATTATTGAAAAAGATCATTATTAGATAACATGCCAAAATATATTTATCAAATTTACTGTCTATTCCTTTTTGTTGGAATCAGAAGAACATCAATCATATACTACCTTTCAGCCATTTCTATCATTGTATTCTCATGGAGTCTAATGATAAAATAAGTTCAGACATAGCTTGTTCATAGTTAAGGTAAAAATATAATGACAAAGAGTGAAAAGCAATTTTAATAAAATTATTTAAATATGTTTACTAACAACATATTCTCTTAACGAGAATGTCAACCAAGTACAATAAATTTTAACTAGTAACTTGGATGTTACTCTTGAACATATATTCTCTATGTTTGTTCACCTTTTGCATATTCAACAAACACCAAAAACCAATAGAATGAACTCGACACTTATGAATACCATATACAAACGGAAATCAAAAAGTTCTGAGAACTAGTAGTATTTCTTCAATAAGAAACACATGATATGTATTTGTCTACATCAAATGTTAGAGGATACCATGAAAATACACGATAGCAAGCTCGATTTACTTTTGAATAATCTTTTTGTATTCATCGACATATATCAAACGGATGGCTCTATTATTTCTTAGTTAAATTTATTGCATTTAAATAGATATTGAATCTATATTTTAATATAGTTGAATAATAGAAGCTCAGACGAAGCAAAGTCAGCTGAATGTTTATGATATGCCATATCTTTAAAATCTCTCTTTTATGAGAAATTTCATATCAACACTTTTTATATGCGTTTTGTAGTACCATGATGGATTTGATACTATCGATGCCTCGTGATAGTCTATATTGAAAATTTCTTAACTAATGCTTTTTAAATATTGTTTCCGAAGTCACCTGCAAAACTTGGATTTTCAAGCCCTGGACTACAGAATCCACCGTAATGTTCTGATTATTATCATTCTCGCGTCATTATAAATACATTTGTTTCTCGCCTTATCACGATGGTAATGATGATGATGACTATTATTAATAATTTTCTGTAAAAAGTACAACACCACTTTGATACATATTACGTATAACTCAAATATTTGTTCTTCAATAACAAAAATAACCTTCTCCAAAATTTGTAACTAAATTATGTACACATTATTCATTTTTGGTATATTACCTTGCACAGAAAAGTATATGATATTTAATTAATATCATGTTCATCTTGAAGGACGCCCTACTAAAAAGAACTAAGTATATATCAGTTTTTTTTTCTTTTCTATAAAACAAGGACTTGACTTTGATTTATATTATTCATATGGTTAATTGGACGAAACATTCATATATGAGAGAATATTGAGTACGAGTTTAATAGACGTGTATATGCGAATAGATAACATATGTGGGAAGACGATCCAATACAAATACAATCGCAATGTTTACCTATACCAGGGTAAAATTGTTTCTGAGCAAAATTGAATCAATTTAGTTTTTTTTCGTTACATAGACGTGATGTTGAATCGGCTGGAGTAACACCATTTTGTGATTTAACAATAGATGACCAATGTGTATTTGATTATGTATTTTAAATTTGCTTTTTTCTTTCAATGCTACTTTATGTACTGAAATTGATGTTTAGTATAAACAAGTAATAAGTGAAAGAATTCGTCAAGAACCAGATTTACATTTTCCGGAGAATTTTGAATTCGTTCCAACAAGTGTTGCTAGACAAATTGAATCACCTGACAATTGTTATTTTCGTGTAAGTTGCAATGTTTTCTCATATAGATTATCGATATGAATTTTTAATATCAGATTGATTTACCACGTTCAATTGTTACGATCAAAATTATTCCCAATCCACGTATTCGTGATCTTTCAAAACATATAACTCTTAAACGAGAACCTTTTATATGTAGAAAATCTTCTGATACGGAACTTATTTGATAAATTATCAACATACATCAACTTGATATCTATTGACATAATGTCAGCAGCTAATTTTTCTTATTCAAATCATATATAATTATGATTAGAAAAAGGAAAGCAAGGTTTAATTTATAATCAAAGACATATGAAGTTTTTTTTTCCAACATCATAAACATGTGATGAAAATTTATTCGATATTAACAAAGTAGATAAAAAATAAATTTTTCTCTTATTGAACAAACAAGGTAAGATCTCCTAATGTGAGTCTTCGTTTTCAATCGCCATTATACTACTTGTTAAAGATTGGCGAGTTGATTACAATAGTATAAAGCGTTCTTCCGGAAAGGCTGTTTTTGATAAGTTAGGTCGATTTCAACTTGAGAAACAAAAATCGTAGCTGTCATTTCAATAATTGTCTTTTTTTTTTTATGTTAGCTTCTTTTTCAAGTTTTCACAGATTTGACATTGGATATGCCTTAATTGATAGTACACATTCATACAATCAATATCAGTAGAAGTTTCAAATACGTCTGTATAGAGAATATTTTAATATCATTCATACTGTAGATGTACGAAATCCGTATTAGAAAGAATTTTATATGAAAACAAACATATTTATTTATCGATTAAATCACAAAACTGAATAAACAAAAAAAAAATACTCTTCATAGATAAACTTCAGCGTATTAAATGAGCGTTGTATTATCTGACTGAAGTAATTGGCGAATTTGTACAAGAAGATGATGAACAGGTAACAACACACTGACATGGTTTTCTCCAATATGTTGATTAATCTATTTAAGAAAAAAGATAAATAAATACATAGTAAAAAAAAAACTTCTTCACATGACTTCTTTGAAAGTAAAAAGTGAAATTCACATGTCTTCTTCAGCTTCATTATAATCTGTCTTATGTATTGTTGTATTTCGAATAGTATTAGTTTTTTCTTCTATTTTTTTTTTACTTGTACACCTTTTTGTCTTATTTCTACTTGTTCATTAATTTTTTTCTTTAATTCCACTTTTCTCAATTTACTATAGGTATTACGATTGCTAATCATTAATTTAATTGATCAATAAGTCTGTTATACACCAGAAGTTTCAATCGACTGGACTAGATCGGAAAAAAAGGCGATCCATAGGGTATCGATCATTGATCCGATCCATCTCATTGAGATCTCTGCTGTATACAATCAATATTTTTGTAATAGATCGCAATGCACTATAATGTGTGTTGATAAACTTAGACATACTGATATTGATTATTTCCGAAAATTAAATATGGATCAATTTATGTTTTTTATATTGATTAAATGATGACCGTAACAAATCAATAGATAACTAGTCATTATCTTCGATGTTTCACTTGTCATGATTTATAAGTGTAAGAAATCTGAAACTACTCTATGTAGAACACTAAAAAAACCTACGCTAGACATTTAAAAGAAAATGTGAGAAAGAATTCTGGTGTCTGTTGTTCTCGGTTGTCAGCGAAAGGTTCGTATCCTATGATCGTTTACCTTCGTGCCAAAGTCGATAAGGAAGAGCTGGAGAATTTTTCACCTAAGATCGACACTCACTATTTACTTTCAAAAAAGATATGTGAGTTTCACAAAAAAAAAATTAAGTAAAAATATGATGAACTTACAGGTTCACTATATAATTCATAAAATTGATAAAGTTTAAAAAGAGATTCAATTGCAATCTCATCATTAAGTATTATTGAGCGAATATCATTTGATGAAAATTGTGTATTATTATGATTTGATGAAGAAATATGAAAATTATTTTTATTAAATGATGAAAAATATTTTTTATCATCCATAAATAATAATTTAATTTCTGATGAAAACTTTAAAGATAAAAAAAAAAAAAACATTAATTGTTTTATTATTTTTTCAAATCAAATCTTACTTCTGTTTTAGTATCAAATATAAATTCTAATCCATCTGCAATAACATTTAAACATGATTCGATTATTGGACAAGTTGAACGACATAACATTAAACGATTTAAACGTCGAATAAATTCACTGACCAATTGAATATATCTATTAAATAGAAAAAGAAATAAAATTAATTAAATATAATATGTTGATTATATGAGCAATTTTCATTTTATTCAATTCTGAAATAGAGAGAAAAATATAGAATATTAGAATTTCGATTGCTATATATTTCGATCGATTGAATCTCTAATAGAAGAAAAATAATCCATTATTCTCACTTGAGATACTCTATTCGACAAAGATATCCTAACTTTTTCTAAGATCAAATTATTATTATTTTACTTAAATATTAGTTAAATTTGAATATCGTTAGGATACAATGAAAAATTTTTCTTAATAGAGTGCAGTGATATTTATTTTGTCTATGTTGTATGAATCTTTTGATGAAAATTCAACTTAATTCAACCTATCACAAAGGAAAGAGAAATACAAAACTACAATTTTGTAAACTAAGCATCATAATAATTATTGATAATTCAATGTTAGAGATGTTCTTTAGGATATAATAGTATGATTGAATCTAATGGATTGATTATAACAGTTCTAATTAGTTCAGTACAGTCACAGTAGTGAAAATCAAAATAGATTTTTGAGAAATGATCATGATAGTGGCAGATTTTTAGCCATAATGAATGTTTCCATTTCAAATAAATCATAATCTTATTAAACATAAAATCTAACGAATGTTTTACAATAAACTAGAACTGTCTCCTTCTATCAAAATGGAAATATTCAATTCTATAGTCTTGGAACTCTCATTATATCTTTTTTAAGTCTTGCAAAGTTTTTCAAACTGTTCATCAGCTGGTTATACCTAGATTGGTTTTTTTTGTTTTCTTATATCTTTCCTTAGGACGGAAAATCAGCCATAAGATCTCACGGTTCGATTGTTTGACCAGAGTATCTATTAAACCATCTGATGAAAAGAGTGAGGATGAAAGTAGTTGAAAATAAGAGCCTGTCGGATAGAGCTGGATCCGATCATTTCCGCGATTGATCTGACAGATGCTACTCTGAAATTAATAACTAGTTATAACTTGATCTTATAAGCTTAGCGTCAAGATCGCTGTCGTTCGGTCACCTTACAGTAAGAAGCACTACACAGTGGCAGATTTCATAGCTTGGTATCTTCTCCACAACTAATACTTGCTTTAGCTTTAAATAGAAAGCAAACCTGGTGTGGATTTCTTGTGCTCAATCGCATGAGCTCTTCATCGATATTAACTAACCACAAGAACAGGTGTAAGTCACAAGGTATTCAGAATGTCCTAACACACTATCTTGTATATAAGTGTCGAATAACGTTGCCACTCAGTCATACAAGTAACTATCAGATTCTATAGAGATGACAAGAATTTTCGGTAATACTTTTCGTAAGTCTTATCAAACAGAAAAATCTTTCAAAAAACAAAACATCAATTAAATTTACTGTTGAAATAAAATTTGATTATTTTCTTGAATTGATTCATTATCAAAAATGAAAAATAAATCTAAACCATTTATAATTTGTTGATAAAAATAAATTAAAATTTGTTGTAAACGATATTTATTTTCTTTTAATTTTTCTTCAATTAAATTTTTATCATAAATTAATTGATTTTCTTTACATAAATGATATAGAAAATTATTTTTTTCTTTTTTTATAATAAGTTTTTTTTGACAATAAATTGTTGAATTTATTAAAAAATTTTTTAACATTGGAATTTGATCTGTATATGAATATGAATTTAATAATGGTATTAATAAATCAATTTCATTATATTCAATTAAACGATTTGTATTTTCATTTGAATTTAAATAATGAATTATTTTTTGTTTTAATTTATTTATTGTATCACAATCAAGAACATTTATATGAAAATGAAATAAATTTTCATAATTTATTTTTAATTCATATGAACAATATGGAATATTATTTAATAATAATGTTAATGATGATATTGAACGTGATGAACAATTTAATAAATCATCACATGGTGATGAATCTATTAAATCAATTAATATACGTAAAAAATCATCAAATAAATGAAATTTATTAATTAAATCATTTTTAGTTCGAAGAAAAAGATTTGAAAAAAATTTTAAAAATAAAATTTCATTTTTTAATGGAAATAATTTAAAATTTAAATAACTATAACGAAATAGATAAACATATGATTCTATTAAATCATTTGAATTATATTTAATTAATTCATCAATAAATGCTTGTGAAAATGGTTTCATATTAAGTAAATCATAAAATAATTCCATTGATGGACGATATTTTATTGAAGAAAATCTTTAAACAACAAAAAGAAAATTCTTTTATTTTTATTTTTTTTTTTCTTACTTGTGATCTTTTTTAAATAAAAGTTTTTTTAATTGATCATCTTCTATAGATATTGTTGTTAGAAAAGATAAACTCATTTGTAATTGTTCCATAATAGGTGGTGTACAACATTTTTCTTGATAGTATGGACATAGAAGAAGTGGTGCTCGTGTTAAAGTATTATCATGTGATGATAAAGATGGTATTTGTTCATATACTTGATAATAAGGAGCTGTTGATGCAGATGTATTAGTTGACCAAAATTGTTTTTCATTTAGATTAACATTATTTTTAGTAGATAAAGAATTTATTTGAGATTTTGATTTTCCATTATATTTATAGAATAGATAAAAACTAAGACTTAATATTGATATTGTTAAAAGACAACTAGCAAATATAAGAGATATTATTGTTACATTTGAATATTTTCTAGATAATGATCGAGTATAAGATAAATAACCAATTAAATATTCTCGATAACCAATATGAAAACGTATTGGACCAATTGAAGAATTAAATAATGTACAATCATCTAAATTTAGTTATTAAAAAAAAAAACATATTTTCTAAGATATCGATGATATGCCGAATTTGTTCACAATGGAGATCACCAAAGTCAATACTAGCTCCGATTAGAGAACCTGTTGAAAACGTTCTCTATTCTCAACTGATTTATTTGAATATTTCAGTTTTTAGAATTAATTAGTCCTAACAATATTTGTTCTGTTACTAAAATATAGTTTTCAATACAGAACAGGCCATCCGGCCCGGTCCGATGATTTTATCCTTTTTTGACAATTAATTCACCCTTAAGGAGGATGGTGGAAAGTTTGCGCGCTACTCCCTTTTCCCGTCATCTTTTCTGAAGAACAAATAACATACAACAGTTCTCCATTGAGAAAAAAATCTTTGTAAACGGAATTTTCTTCGAACTGAGCCGTGGCCTGATTTCGAGACCTGATACAAAACACAATTTTTGAGACATTTTAATTTCAGAAAATGCTTTGTTCGCACAGTTCTTTTGCTCTGTTGGTCTGAACTATGATCTGATCAACTCCTAATATATTTTAGTACTGGTTAATAATATAAAACTAACCTATTTTTTTATTTTTTTCCTCTGTTACCAAAATATTTCACTTAGATCTAAAACTAACCTTTTTGTTGTTGATTATTAAGAATAATTGCTGTGTTTGTTATTAATTTTGTTGGTGGTTGACATGTAATACCTTTTGATGTAAATGTTTTAAGTTTACATTCTGAACATCCAATAAATAATTGAATATCTGACATTGATGCAGCTTCTGTTAAATTTTCTACTTGTAATTTTAATTCTTCACCTGTATAAGGTAATATTGGTGGAATTGTTGATATATTTAATAAAACATCAGGAATATAATGAAATTGAATTATATTTGTTAATGAAATAATTGAATTATCAAAATAAATTGAAAAATTAACATCTAATGGTGGTGATGGAAATTCATTTGATGATGGTGGAATGCCTAGTGTTCGAAAATAAAATGATGAAATCATTCCATCTTCTGTTGATAATATATCATTAGAATTTATCTAAATGATAATATTTATTATATTAAATCAATTGTGTTAAAAAAAAAAAAGATAAAGAACAACAAACTTTTAATTTTTCATTCCATTTTTTATGAGAAAATTTCACCGTGATTATTTGAGCTGATCCAAAATACATTCCACGAACAGTTATTAAACGACCACCACTAGAACATAACGATAAAAAATATTCCTATAAAATTAATTTTTAGACTAAGTTTTTTATTTATTCAAAATCAGACTATAGACATATAACAGAGGTAGATTTAAACTGTAATCTAATAGGACAATGTAGACTTTCTATAAAGTTTTCAAACGATTTTGAGAAAATTTCAAATCTTAGAAAGCCTTCGACATATTAGAAGATCCGAATGCTTCTATTCTGTTTTAGTGTTCACAGGTTATAACAACAATTCTCTCTTATGTTACTTAAAATGTTATGTTTTTTTGGTAATCTTAGCCACATCTCTTAGTTTCAATTGATTTTTTGCTGCTAAATACATTAGATAGAAAATGAGATTATTTCATTAATTGCACATTTGTACAATAAGATTCGACTAGTATAGATATTAGTTGCCAGCTCACTTGAATGAATACGATTGTCTACAGAGAAGCAGCTTATAGAAAAACAACAGTTGAGTGCACATTCATTATTTTAGTTTTTTTACTTAACATTGTTTTGCTTTAAAAAGATCTGTTAATACGTGACTCGAGATGTCCATCTTTTATCATTATATTAACAAGAAAATATTAGATTCATTTAGAAAATTTTATTTTCACGAGCAACTCATCTTGTAAATATGCTAATAAATTTTCTTTTTAAAAATGAATGTATTCAAATGATACAGTTAATAAAAGAGCAACAAAATGAGTAGACGATATTATATTCTGTGATAAACTGACAACATCAACATAAATTCTTCAATATTAGATCAAAATATTCTGATGAAACGATCTAAGAGGACTGTTAAAGTATATAGAATACAAAAAAAAAACGTCACACACCATGACAGAAAGAATCGACAGACCGTCACACATATAACACCCATCTTAATAACGACATATCACGGACGTGACAGACACCTTATCGACATTTTCTCCGTGTCACAGGTTGCGATAGACGTAACTGATATACGATCAAAAGAAAAGCGTCTGGTTATATTAAATGAACTGCTCCTCTATTGAATTCGTTGAGTATTAGGTAAAAGAATGATGAAAAAAACAAATATTCTCATATATATAGATCAACACAATGTTCCTGTGATTAGTACCAGTAACTGCATCACCTTTGACATTTTAATTCTCTAGAGATTCTGATAACAGTTTTCATATTTATAATTAACACTTAGTAATCATTTGGGAATTCGATGAAGAAAACAAAAACAAAAAATCCTATGCTGATATCATTGTATCTGAATAATATACTCTAATATTTAATAGATAGAAATAAAGATGAAAGAAATTTTTTTTTTGCTTTCTACCTTGCAAAACTAGTCGTTGGATCAATATCTTGAACAATTGGATTTGGTGTTACTTTTAATTTATCTTGAATATTTATTAATTGATTATCGATTTTTAATGTTATATTATAAATTTTTGATATCATTGAAGGTAAACGACATGATAATGTATTTAATAATGTTTGTTTTATTTGTATACATTGATAATTATCAATAAAAATTTTTTGTTCATTACCAATAAATAAATTATATCCATTTATATGAAGAATTTGTCCACCAAATTCATAAACAATATTTGGATTAATAGAAATAATTGATGATTGACAAAATTCAATATATTCTTTTGATAATATATATATTGAATTTGTAAAATAAATACTTATTTGTCCTTTTCGTGATGAATTTGTATATTGTGCTTGACATTGTATTATATTTGATGAATTAATTACTAAACATGGTATATCAAAAAGTAAAATTTCAAGAATTTTTTCATTAATATATTCATTTAAATAAATATTAATTATTGTTTTTCCATTTAATGGTATTAATTTAGGTGAAAAATCATTTATACGTAATGATGTACATTGTTCATTTATTAAACATTTATTTATTGATTTAGTTAAACATTGACCTTGACACCATAAACAATTTAAACGTAAATTACATTTATTACATGTATCATATAAATCACAACGATAAATAAACATTTTTATTGGATTACCAATTAAAATATTATTTTGATAAATAGTTAAATAACTAATTTGTTCATTTTCATTATTTATTTGTGGAATTTTTGTTATATAACAAATATTATTTGAATTAACTATACCATATATTGTTTCATTTAAACGACATTCAATTCTATTATCATATTGTATAAAATTAAATTTTAATGGAATTTCAATAGATTGATTTGATTCAAGAAAAATATTTGTCGAATTTAATAAATCAAATGATGAACATTGTGAAATTGTTTCTGTACACATTGATGAACAACGTTGTGAACACCATTGACATCCAATTTCAGTTCGACATGATACACATGATAAATATGATGAACAATTATAAAATGTAAATTCTGATATTGTAGCAATACTAATATTTGATGGCCATTTTATTAATGATAAACGAACAATTAAATGAGCATCTAAATATTTCAAACTTATGCTTTATATTTAAATACAATTTTGATTCGACTATAAACTATATCTATGAATATTTCATACAAAATTACAATGAAAAAAATATATCAAAATTTCTCTTTCTTTGACTATGAATAGATATGAAAAGTTCACATATGATTTTTCTGTATTGAAATTAAATATTGTACATTTTCTGTTCAACACCACAAAGGAAACAATCAGACAGTAAAACTTAACATGTTCATACTACTGATTTTCTAAGATCAGATGAAAACTGTACGAAAAATCTTGTTCCCTATCGGAATTCGTTTGCACACGTTGTTCTTCTCAAATTATTACAATTTTAGTGAATTTTTTTTTCATCATTAGCAAGATAAAATTGCATTATGAGATTTCAATCTGATATTTTCACCTAGCGGTTTGCCTTGTAGGCATTAGAAAGTCATGAAAATTTTAGCCTTAAGGAACTCCGTTCTTATTCAAACATTCAATATTCACAAATAATCATGTTTCATAATGAAAGACTAAGACAATTAAATGTTTTTAACTTGTGATATTTAAAGATCAATACATCCTTTTGAACTAAAAATTTCAGCATAGTCTAATATATACGAGACTTATCGATGTAGAAGATTTCAGGTTGAAATTTCTTAATTTGATTTAGTCATCAATACTTTGTCACAGATAAAAAAAAAATCTGTTATAACTTGGAAAAGATATCGCACGAAGATGAACTCTTATAGCATTCTAGTAATCTCGTAGAGACTTATTGATAAACAAAAGATCAGTTCGATTTATAAGTGACACTTGGAAATTTTTTCTCATTAGACACAGGATATATAAATAAAAAAAAACTTTAAGGAAGAAGTTAGCTATAAGATGAATCGGAAGAAATTCTCTCATAGAAGTCTACTTAACATAAATCACCGTTAGAATTGAACAACATTTTCACTCAAAACAATCACACATTTAATTCAAAAAAAAAGTTATTAAAACAGAAATTGTTCAGTTAGAAGAATATAGAAGAGAACAAATTCAATGTCAAAGGGTGGTAACGTACTTCTTTTATGTTCATTATCTTTTATCTCCTGCTGTTCCATAGAAAAGAAATATATATATTCTTAATGTCTATCAACAACAATGATCTTTATAAAAAAAAAACTCGATAAGAATTTAACAAAAGATGAATCAATTTAAGAAAGAAAAATTTATTGAAATTTTGCTTCAAAATTTTAAAAATAAAGGTGGAGACATTAAAAACGAAAGTGACGTGTCACAACATATAATTATACCTAACTCAAGTCATCACACTCTACCAATAAGAAGAAAAAAAAACAGACATACTCAAACAATAACAAAGATATATTCCAATAGGAAAATTTTTGGAAATCTTTTCATATAAAACATTAATATTATTAACTTTCTATCTTATCTTATAATCAGATACAAAAAAAAAAGCATTTTTCTTTTCAGTTGATTGTCAATAACATTCTTATGATTATTTGTATACAAATTGAAAAGATTATCGAGATAAAAAAATCTAATTGACATTTTTCTTTTTTTCCTCTCGGTAATCGATGAATATTTGTATTGTATGTATTAATTGATATAATCTCTTACCTTGATGAACATGAATATTTTTTGATGGCGTGGGACACGAAAGACGATTATGATCTAATTTAATTGCTTGTGTATTTGCCGATATTATTTTATTTGTAAAAATACATTGATAGATTTCATTATGTTCTAATTGTGGTAATTTCGTTAAAGTTAGATTAATCTATAGAAAATACAAATGAGAATTTAATGATTAAAAATAAAAAATAAAATCATCAAAATAACAAACCCATTGACTATTGTCAATTGAAGCTCTCAATGGTTGAACATTAACAATATGTGTACATTGATTACTTTCTTGTTGCCAGGAATTCAAAGGACAATTATTAGCCAATGTACATCTATCAATCGAAAAAATTTTCTGTTTTTCAACATAAAAGACACGTGCACAAGAATAAAAAAAGTTAACGGGTCATTCAACAATTAGTAAATAAAGGTCACCCGCTGGCATTTTATGATACTCTTTATAATAGACAATGTGTCACTATGGGTTTATTTTAATTGCTATGGGGAAATACATTTGATGTGTCAATATTCATCGATTAAACCATCTATCTTGTCAATATTACTTTGGTAAATTGACATGAGAAGTTTTTCTCTTTTTGTTTTGTTTATGTGTGCATGTATGTCAATCTCAATGATCATCTTACCGTTGATTTAATGTACACCAACCACATAAAGGATTATTTGATGAAGATAAACATTCATCACATGACAAACGTGATGTACAATCACCCGAAAATGATATACGATAGATCTAAATGAACAAGTTTTTTTTTTCTTTGATTTATTTATTTCAATGACAAATTTTTAATATCAAACCTTTGATTGTGAAGCTAAAAAGAAACTTTCTGTCTTGTTATCAAAAATAACATTTGAAAGTATTGGTGATTGTGTAGATAGTTGATATGAATAAACCCAATTTATATGAACTCCAAAATCGAATAGACCCTTAGAAAAAAAGAAAAAAAAAAAAAAGATTTATTTTATCTTCTCAAGTATTTGTTTGTTCAATTCGTTATCATCAAACAACAATAAGAAGAAACAAAAAAAAAAAAAAAGGCCAGATGTATAGTCTATGCGTGACAACCATTGTTTGATCATCATGAACAGAAAGTACCATGTCATCTGACCTTTTATTGATCGGTATACTTTAAGTAAAATGAAAAGAATAAATGTCCTAAGGCATTTTCTTTAGTAAATTTGATTGATGAAATACTTACCAATTTAAAAGTACCATTAGTTAAACCTTGAAAAATAACATATGATGAACCAAATGAATATATCTGTAAGGCACTAGAACTTTCTAGTAAATTTTCATATAGTAAATGACCAATAGCTGGTGTTGTACCACCAATTGGATAAGGTAAACGATCATTAATTATCCAAGGACAAAGATTATCATCATTAATTGGTATTGACCAACTCTTAAAAAAAAAGTAAAATAAAATAAAATTTATTTAAATATAAATATTATTTATTTACTTCATCTTTTCTACATGGTTCATTTGGTTTAATAAATGCTAAACCACGTTTTCCAATACCCATTGAATAACATGTACGATAATTATTTTCAAAAGTTCTATCAATATCATTTTGAATATTCCATAAACAAATATTTGTTCCTCCACTACCATCTTTTCTTGTAAAATGTCCAATTAAAATTTTTTCATTATTATCATTTATAATAATTTCAGCTGTTTTAATAATCCATTCTGAATTAAAACATATCAATGGTATTTCAATATATGTACGTATAATTGAATATGAATTATCACGACAAAAACGTATTATTTTAGTAAGAAAATAATTTTGTTCAATATCATTTGGTTGATTTGTTATAAAATAAATATAATTATTTGTATAAAATGAATATATATATTGAATAATAAATCTTGTTTGTTGTCTTGACATAAAACGTAATGATAAATCATCTTTTGAAATTTTTTCATTATCATTTGTTGATAAAATATTCATAAAACGTGATATATTTAATGATCGTCCTGATATATTTGGTATTTGCCAACGATATGTACCTTCATTTGTATATGTAACACCAAAATAAATTAAATTTTTTTCCGGTATTATTAATGCAATAGTACTATTTATTGGATCATTAGCAACAATTGGTAATGATGAATTAATAATAATATTTAAATTTTGATCAAATATTTGACATGTACCTTGATATATTGTTCCACATAAAAGTATATTTTTATTATGAATTGATAATAATATTTTAATATGATTATTTATATTACATTGAGTACATGATAGATTATCAATATTTGAAATAAGTTTTAATGATAATAATGTTTTATTTAATGTTAATGATGATAAACGATGTAAAAAATTTTTTGTACCAATATATAAATTTTCATTAATAAGAAGAATTTTTTCAATTGAATTATTTAAATCATTTTCAATTATATCAATTGATAAATTATTTGTAATTAATATTAAATAACTTATTAATAAAATTGAAAACATACTAAAAAAAAATTAAAAATTTTCTTTTTCTAAGAAATTAAACTTAAAGGATTATATGTAAAATAATCTGAGATATAATCTAAATTTTTGTTATTCAATACAATTGATGACAAAGAGGATTACTGTTTGCTGTCTATGTTTATTCATATCGAATGACTTCTTCTGTTCAATGTTCATCTATTCACATCCGGCATCAAAACTAATCAGTCACTTTTGCTTTTTTTTTTTTACTTACCTGACTCTCATCTTCTCGTTCGTGCATATAGAGACTTGTCAATTTTTTTTTTTGAAATAAGTAAACGAAGAGAGAATAGAAATGAAGCTCTATGTATATATGTGTATATATATAAAGAAAATTATTTTCTTGCTGTCGTCCACTACTTTTTTTCTTCGCTCTCTCTCTCTCTCTCAGTGTCGGTCATCGTAGAACGAAAGAAGAAAAAAAAAACAGAAGGAAGAAACAACAGGAGGCAATTAGAGCAGATGGCCAGGTGATTCATTTGAGCAGAAAATTGAGTTTAGTATCACTATGTCATAATACTAATGACTTGAAGGTTTTGATCGATGATATGATGATTATCCCTCTGGATGTCAAAATTCAAAACAGGAAACAGATTTAATTAACTTATTTTATTTCTCATGTGAATAAACAATCATTCTATGTAATAAAGATAATAAAATGGAAAAAACTAACAGATGTTAGTTTTTGTATTTTTGTAGAAGATTTTTAAAATTGAAATCATTCAACCGAACTGTACGCTAATATTTTCAATGAAATTGACTAGTTGCTACGAAAATACGAGATCAGTTTTTTTTGTAGATTTTTGGTTTCGATAACAAGTTTACCTTACATATTTCTTAGACAACTTGAATTCAGTATGTTCAGGTTTGGAACAAATCGAAGAATTCTATACTAGACTAAATTGATGAACTATTGTAGAAATTCAATGATTCTTCATATGATGATTTCCATTGCTGTTGATTGATTTAAGTGGGAAAAGCTTCGTTAGAATATCATATAATATATCTTATGTTATCAATGAAATCAAAATTGTGAAATAAACAAAAGAAGTGATTGTTCATTCATTTTATAGCTATGAATAATCAAATAAATGTAAATTACTTTTTTTTTTTTTTCTGTTAAGATCAAATTTCATTATTGCATTTTAAAAAATTTCTCGAATTTTGATATTTTCATCATATGATATGAATATTGAGTAGAAAATTTTCTTGATTCTATAATGATTTTGAAGCAAGAATAAATCGAATCGTTTAAATAATACTAGGAATTCATTATGACTTTGACATCAAAATATAAACAATTTTTCTTGTATATTGACAAGTAGAAGATGTGAAAAAAAAAACAAATAATTTTCAAGATTATAAAATATTAGACATTAGCAATACTCATTATTTCTCTTTTTTCCATCAAATTGATTATTGAATAGCTGAATAAGTTCGTTCGATGTTCACTATATAAAATATTCATCAATAAATGATTACTTTCTTTTTCTCTTTGCCGATGAAACAGTAGTAGATCAATAAACTCAAAAGAAATTGCTTTTAGACATATGAACAAGCAAAAAAAAAAAAATAACAATGACCGTATAGAAAATGTCTGTTTATAATAGACCTTTAATATTCATTGAAAAAAAAAATGAGAATGAGACGGTCGTTTTTTTTTTTGCTTTTTTTTCCTAATTAGTTCCAAACTGTGAATTTGATCAAAAAATACGAAGAGATTTGAGTACGATTTTTCACAAGTTAATATTGTTGCATATCAACAAATGATCAAAAGATGAAAAAATATGATCAATCGGTGTTAAATTACATCTTATAGAAATTCATAGTGAAGAATTATTTCAACTATTTTCTAATTATTTCGAATTAGATTGATGATTTTATCCATAAACAAATTGGATTATTATGTTGTTTTTTTTCCTCGTTCTATTGATTTTTCATTTTTTCTTGTATATGTTATTGGAGAAGATGAGATTATCACAATTTATTTTTTGGGGGTGTAAAGCTCTTAGATAAACAAACTTCTTTAACAGGAAACTGTTTTTCTTGAACATAAACAATAATATATTGCTATTGCTTGAATATAAATTATTTTCTGTTCTTTTTTTTTTTTCTATCTAATAAATTGACTGATATTAGAATTAACTAAAGACTAATTTCAATGTTAGTTTTTCTTTTAATTAATGATCAATTGTTTACATATCTTTTATTTATTTATTTTTATTTTTTGGAATATGATAGATGATCTTTTTCTAGTTGAAGTAGAATTATAATTCTTTCGAACATGCATGATTATTTTATATACTATATGAAATCGTATTATGACATTTGTGAAAGCATTTGTATTGCATCGTGTTTGTAAATGGTTGAACGAGTTAGCTAACACACGATTTATAATACGAGAGAATACCACAGGGGGTCTTCACGTTCATCTCATTCAGAAAATTAGAATACGATTTAAATGATACTCTAACGAGTATTTAATAACAGTCGACTTACTCTAATGTCTGTATTACTTTTATAGATTTTCAGATTCATCGTACAGAATAACAATGCATAAAATCTGTGTAGACATAAAAATTTTAATTCTTTTTTTTTTTATGAAATTCACATAGTTTTTCGAAGAACATAGTTAGTATAATTTTAAATTGAGGATTTTTTGCATTTCTCTCCCGACCACTCTCTGTTCAGACTGTAACAAGTTGTGGTAGAAGAAGAAGAAGATTCAAAGATCATTGCTTATGTTTTCAAAGTAACGGAAGATCGAGAAGATGAGATCAATGTTCTTTGTATGTGTTTGTTTAGCAATAGGAAAAGGCGCGTCCATAATAGCAACGCTTAGGATCATTCTAAAGTTCAGACAAAATTCAATAGTATATGTGAAAGTTCCTTGAGAGAAACAATGATGCACTTGAAACTCTATGGAACGATTACATCAATATTTATAGTAGATGAATATGATAGTTAAACTGATGAAACGAAGAATAAAATGATATTTGTTACTTCCTATAACATGTATCGTATATATTATCATTAGGAGAAATGAAAAAAGTGTTAAATGAATCTAATAAATTAGTAGAATAGGAATTCTAGATGCAAATATATGCGAGATTAGAAAATGTCCGAGTGTGTGTATCAAGTATAAAAATTTTTAGCATTTTGATTTATTCATTTATTTGATACTAGTTAAAATAAACAATGTTAACCTTTCTGACAATATGTCATAAATTAATAACAGTCAATATTTGTAAGTTCAATACTTTGTCCTGTGATGGAACCGTATGGAAAAGTCTTTTTTTTTTTGTATGAACAAAGATAACTATTGTTTTTCATTCTTCTTAGAATTGTCAAATATCGTATTTCATCTGTCGAAATAAAATGAACATAAATAAATAAATCATCAATAAAAATGACTAAATCCAACACCATCTATCGTTCATACTAAAACACTATCTATCAAATATTAATAAATAAAATAAAGAATGATTTAATAATTAGTTTTCATAATTACTTTAAGGTTGTCAATTTTAATAAAATTCAGTGATCTATATTTGAATAAAGTCTGATGAAATAATTCTGTTTGGTTAATATAAAAATCGAATCAAATTGTTGTTGATAAGACCTCAAATATATGTTTTATTATTGACCAGGTGAATCGATCTTTCGTGCAGTAAATACTGCGCATTGATCATGCCAAAAGCTAATTCTTCATTATCATTTGTTTCTCCACATCCACCAATTCCACTTCCTGATCATCATAATCATCCAGTAACACGTCGTTCTTCTACAGTACTCAATGAAGCTTCAAGTCTTCCTCCACCTGCCAATGCTGTGTCCTCGAACACACATACCGAACATGAAACTGATGATTATCAAAACAAACAAATAATTAGTTTGCCCTTCAATTGGCAGGTAAAAATATATTTCTTACAATGAGAAATTAGTTTTTTTTAATTTTATACTTGTATATTTCTTGGAAGTGAAATTGAAATTTTTATTTTCATCAGATAAAATACCGATTTCACTATCGATGAGTATTTCTTTGGACATAAAAAGATATTTTCTTATTATGCTCAAGCAGAATTAGAATTCGACTAGAAATAAATTCATACAATCGAAATCAATAAAATCTGAATAGAATAACGAATTTCAATCAACAATATAATTTTTTTTTAATATTTTCGTAAATACTTTAGTCTATTCACTCATGTTGATATAAAAAAAAACTCTCACTTGAAATGATATTATGTCAAACAAAAAATTTTATATATATATTGTTTTCTAATTCACTTGTCGTTACAATCGTATGTACAACCGATAATTGAACCGAATTCAGATGTTCTTATTTTTTATTAGGTTATAACGTGTACGTCTATATTGATACGGCTTGTCAACATGACTACTATGACTAAAGACTTCTTTTGTTTTTTTCTTTCATTTCACTTTACTTTGAGTGAAATACGTAATGGTATGAATTTATCTTCAGTCGAATTCTAATATTGTCCGAATATAATTGCAATTTCAGTTTTTCTCTCGTGAATTTTGAATTTAATCAAATTCTAATATTTTCTTCAATATTTACATTTATATAGGCTTCAAAATTTTCTCTCAATGATCGTATATCTGCATTATGTTTAAATGAATATATGGCTGATATACATTTTGAGTTAAATGACAGTGATGAATTGATTCCTGCACATAAATTTGTTTTAAGTGTTGGTTCTTGTGTATTTGAAGCTATGTTTCAACGAAATAATGAATCATTATCATCAATTATACATGTACCTGATATGGAAACTTATGCATTTCGTATATTATTACGTTTTTTATATGGTGATTATAATACTCCATCATTATCAATAACACATGATACTGTTATGTCAATATTATATGGTGCAAAAAAATATTGTGTTCTTGGTCTTGAACGTCTTTGTGTTGATTTTTTAAAGAAAAATATTTCGATTGAAAATGCATTAATA